TACATGAAGATGATGAACTTAACGAGAAATGTACTTCGTCAAGTCCTTTACAAGACAGTTATATGAAAGATCCTAATTATTTTGACAGTCTTGTAGATAACGTAGATCTATCTTACATTGGAAGTGAGGAAGAGCCTATATCAGCATGCATAAAACCTACAGTTTCAGTTACTAACAGTTGGGATTCCTTTAAAATAGATGATGTTGATATTGTAAAATTTTTTGAGTCTTTACGTGATTCCTTACCGAAAAAAGATTCCGAAGTTCAGTAAGTATTATTTTATATAACGGTTTCGCGAGAGAATCTGTTTATAAAATTTATGGATATCATTTTTCTCCACTGAAGTCCACAGTATTGGGGAGTTCTTGATTTGACTGGACAACACAAGCCAACGAGGAATAAATTTATTTCAATATGGGGTGAACTCGTAAATAATTTCCTACTAAATGTAGCATGGAAAATGGTGGGACTTGACCAGTCCGAAAGTGACTTTTTTGATAATATCGAGGTAATTTCAGTTTCAAATCCACTTAACCATTACCTTCGTTCCATTAATTATACGAAACCTTTTATTGAATAGGATATAAAGGCACAACAAAGGGTACCAATACTGCATGCGCATTTGAAATCATATCTTGAACATCTTAAATTACCGATAAACGAAGGGGAGCTTATGATTCATATTGTGGCTCCTGCTTTTAGAATGAGCATGGACAGAAATCAAGAGAAGTTTCGAAAACTTTGGTAATTTTCAAAGGTCCAGATTTTATGTTATTAATTTCATATTAAAGATTTTATTTCTGGTTTTCAGGTGTGAACAACAATTAGTAGCAAGTCAGGAAAGGCGTAGAGTTAACCAAGATCCAAATAATGATCGTGCTCGTATCGGACAAAAAACAGATTTAATTGTTACATTGCCAACTGGTCCAGCCTTAGAGGGCTTTATTTGTGAAGTTTCAGGAGGACTTCCAGCAGGATGTCCCAAAAAAATTTGGACAGACAAATTAAAAATCATGGTCGGGATGCGTGACATGATAAATAGAATAATAAAAACGTTTCCTGGTCTATTACCAGAGGATTATATGAAAATTATGGTTTTTGGTTGTCAAGTAATAGGTAAATGTTTTTTATTTTTCAGAATGAAGATACAGATATTTCTGAAAGAAGATTGAACAATATATATTTCTTTATATTAAAGGATTACAGATAAACCTTTACGCAATGGATGTTCGAGCATATGGGGTCTATCGTTTTGGATTAATTGATAAAGCATTTTTACCGGCTTCAACACAAGAGTTATCATCATATGAGTCAGTACATACGATGATGCGTTCCTTAGAGGTATGTTTTTATTTATTTCTTATTAATATACATATACGTATTATCATACTTATCAGTTTGATTTTACAGTGCCGATTAAGTAATCTTACGGATTATTGCTCGGAGATTAAAGTTAAACATGCAAAACTGAGGCGAAAACGTGATTACTCTTATCAAGAAGACAATTTTGCCTTTACAAATGATACTCCGCGCACATCCTTTCATAAAAAAAATGAGATCAGAAACTGACAAATGATGATAAACTATAATTATTATAATATTGTTAAATAAAAATTTTAATTGCGTATTATTATTTTTCTGATGATGATGATGAAGGTTATTATTACCGGCGAAACTTATGGAGAATCGTCCTATTAACAATAAATAATTTACAGTATACAATAAAAATAACGACTATATATTTTGTTACTACCTTCGTTGAGATATGTACCATAGTAGTCACGGGTGTGTCCTCGGGACATAGGCGCAGAAAATGTTACATGACACATATACGTATATAAAATAAATAGATATTAATTTCAATCGAAATAAAATAAGTTCGCTACCACAATAAATAATTAATATATGCACATAACACTCAATTATTACACTTATGAAACACGAAACAAAATAAATAGCAAATTATATCTTTATTGATATCTGTAAAAATTATTTTTATTATTCGTGGAGTAGAGGGCAAAGAGGGAGGAATAAAGCACGTTAAAACATGCCTGCTCAGACCCCTAAGTCTTAAGATGGCAGTTCCTTTCCCTA